TAATGATGATGATAATGATGATGATGAAGGTGTCTTCTCTCTAGGTGTGGGACATTGAGTCTAAAGAGCAGGTGCGGACCCTGACAGGTCATGTGGGAACAGTTTATGCTCTTGCTGTCATCTCCACCCCTGACCAGACCAAAGTGTTCAGCGCCTCCTACGACCGCTCACTCAGGGTGAGGACGGACTGTGTGTGTGTGTGTGTGCGTGTGTGTTGTAATAAACAGTTTTAAATGGAGGCGTGTGGCAGTGTCAAACAGAGTGGTTTGCATAGCTGAAATGTTGTACATGTGTTCTCTAGGTGTGGAGCATGGACAACATGATCTGTACCCAGACCCTGCTGAGACACCAGGGCAGTGTAACAGCTCTAGCTGTCTCCAGAGGGCGCCTCTTCTCTGGAGCTGTGGACAGCACTGTCAAGGTACCACACATCCTCTCTCCATCATGTGCTCCACCTGCTGTACATCTGTACCTGCAGGTTCACTTACAGCATTCATTCTGCTTGTATCCATTCATAATGGTGCTACTTGGAGAGCCTAATATTGTCTGAGGTGGTACGCAGTGTAAAAGGTCTTGAGAGCCACTGTTCTAAAGTAATCTCTCTCTCTTGCTCTCAGGTGTGGACATGCTAAGCAAACAGTCTGCTTGGCTCCAGTCGACTTCACACTCCAACGGTAACCTTTTCACGCGATTTCCTCCTCTGCACCCGTTTCTTTGGTTGTGATTTGCCGGCCACAGACCGATAATAACCGCCACTTCACAGTCAAGCTGCATCGGAACTATTTTACTAAGTGTTGCTTTTAAAACTTCAAACAAACAGTCCGACACATGGACCCGACCGTCAGTGTCGAGGGTCACGCTCCTCAGTGACCTCATCATCAGTGCATTACTGGGCAAAATAAGACGAGCTGCCTTACAGTTGCACCCCACTGCACCTGCATCAAACCCGAGAGCGACTGGACGCTGCATCCCCGTAGTCAGAGCAGGAAGACGGTCCGGCCTGCTTCCTGTGGACAACCTGCCATTATGAACTGTACTGATGCCTAATGCATACTGTTCAAATAAGTGTAAGGGCTGGTTTCACAAATATGGAGAGACACCACTCTTGCTCCAAATGTTATCCCATAATGCACCAGATCAAAGTAAAGAAATAGATTATTTTATGCAAATGAAGTTTTGTGTTAAAATATATGTGAAGACCAGATATATTCTCTTTCCATAGACTTTAATTGGTGGCCATCTGATGTGTGTCTCGAAGACATGTCGAGACACACATCAGATGGCAACAAGTGACTGCTGTTTACTGCAGTGCTCAGAGCAGGGACAGTAAAGGCCAGTTTATGGTCTGTTTTACTCTAAATGGAACCATCATTAACTAAATGAACATCATGCTGTATGGAAGAAGACTGGAACTAGAGACTGAGACCAGAAACTCA